TTTACCAAAAAAAGAATTTAAAAAATTTTTAAAATCTAACGCTTATACATTTATTTTTAATAAGCAACAACTACAAGGATACTTTTCTAACACTTGCGGATATTATTGTATGCTGTACGGTCTTATTAAAAGTAAAAAGAAAACACAAGATTTTTTTTAAGAAAATTCAAGAAAAACAACTGTTTATTTAATGATAAATTAATAATAAAAATGTTTAGAAACCAATTTTTTTTATTAATGGTTTTGGAGCAATACGTTTGTTTAACTTATAATATTTCATCATTAGACTAAGGGCACACACACTGACGTGTGTCTGGTCCAGATGAGGCATCATCGTCGCTCCAGGGACAAAGTTTATAATGGAATCCAAACTTCGAATGGATTAACTCTTTTTCCTCTTAATCCTCCAAAGTAGCTTTTAGGAACTCCATCCTTTGTAGGTGTTACTCGAAAAGCATTCTTTCAAATTGCATAAAGAATTGTTCTATCTGTTGAGCGTACATTTTTAAGGAAAACAATTTTTTTTTTAGAATGATTTAAGACATTTATTTGCATTTAAAAAGTCCGCTCTTTATATTGAAGAATTTTATTTACTTTACTTATTTACTGATAAAAATTCAATTTGAGCACAACTATATCTGTTCAGATCTTTTCCTTTATATACCATATGAGTTATTCCATTCTCATTTAATTTCCTAAATGGTGTGTTTGTAGAAAATTCGTTCACATAACTTTTAGGTAGAAATATCCAAACATCTTTGTCGTCCTTATCAGTTAAATAAAGAGGTAAGAGCGTAAGATTGGATTCGTTGTGCACTAGTACCTAACTGTTGTATACTAATTCTTTAACCAGAAATTACATGGTCTTATATACTTGTCAAAAACTATATATTTCAATTCATGTGGAGTAAATGAGATAACAATATGTCTTCATTATATGTACCAAAATACTTATTCAAACTATGTAATACTTGAGAATAAAGTCAGAAATACATATCAGTATGTCTATCTCTTTTTATATTTATATAAATCTTCCAAAAGCGTTAAAATAAAGTTAGTATATATAACGTAAGAATTGTCCCTCAGATGCTATATAAGATAAATTTTTTATAGAAAAGTCTGTTTATTTTTAAAAACATCGAAACGGTGAAGAATCATTGCTAGTTGTGCTCAGAAACCAAATCCTTTACTACTCGCAGCGGCCTAAGAGCGCATACCTTAAAGATACACAACTTCGCCTATCAGAAATCTAAATCTTTCTTTTATTATTGTTTTTTTGTCCTAAAGTACGTAAAATTTGGTTGCGATTCGACTTTAATATGCATCGTCTGTTGGTTCACAGCGCAGAGCTGAAACGTATTTGCAAGGCAAATAAAAATGATCCAATAAATAAAAAACAATTTTAAGCTCACAATTTTAAAATAGTTTTTAGTTTATTTTTCTTTATGTATCGTGTATTTATAATTAAAAAGTTAAGAATCTAGATCAAATAAAACATCTAGTAATGCGTTGTCATCTCCGTCATCCAACAAAGTTAAATAATTATAAGTCGGTGGCGGTTGAGGTCCCATAAGTTCTTCAAAGATGTGGTCATCGTTAGGAAAAAGTTCATCTTCTGGTCTGGATAGGTCGTCGTCCAATTGAAATTCCTATGCACACTGATATTCATCTTCGCCTTCATCGTGTGTGATAAGGGATTCCAAAAAAGCCTGCGTAGTAGTCCTTTGTGGAAACTGGCTTCACTCAAGAGACTCCAATCCTGGGTCCCTATTTTGGGTCGACGATGCAGCCGGTTGAAATACGCTTTGTAGGAGGCGATCAACCGAATCTTCTGCTTCGGAAACCTGCACAAGATCCAGATCCAAGTTTTCAATTATTTCAACATCAGAATCTTGCGTAGGTGGTAATTCCAGGCTGTCAATCTCAACCTCGTTTTCCGAATCGATAAATTCTACGGTTAGATCCATAGGTATGCAGTACTGAGGCATTTGAAGAACTGATCCTGAGCAATTTGGTGGTGTCATTTTTATGGTCTAGAATGTTCACTTAACAGGTTGACATATACAGGGAGTGCATACAGGCATGTTGTATTCTAGAACCAATTCGATTATAAGGAGCAGCCCAATACCCCAGTAGAATGGTTATTAGAAGGAAAACGAACACAAGGATTGATAACAAGTTACCGGGAGTGAACGTGGTGTAGGAGGGGTTAGGAAGTACACAGAGAGAAATATTCAAGTAATTTGCACTCAAATTGAGTATTTTTGGACTCAAAAATTCAGCATGAACAAAAATTCTCACTTTCAGTACAAATTTCTCAAAAAATTTGTACTTAAATTGAGTACATTTGTGCTCTTTCTTGAACCTTTTTCTTTAATATGAGTACAAACTGCACTCATTTTAAGAAAAATTTTGCCTTGAATTTTAGAAACGAGTATCCCCTTTTCTCATACTGAGAAACTCCAAGCGCTCAAATTGAGAAACCAATTCTTGATAGTAAACTTCTAAATTTTCAAATGAAGAACTTTTTACTTCAACCCATTCCACCCATTCCCAGAAAAAAGGGTAAAATAAATTTTTTTTTTTATTTATTTTAAAAAGCGCTTATTCATAATATTCCTTATATTATAAACTCCATATAATAATACAAAATTTTAAATATATTTCATTCTTATATAAGTATTTCCGTCATTTAATGTATACGGATGTAAGGGCGGGCTTTTAATTGCGATATGTTTTTTACATAAATCTTACTCGTTATGTTGCCTATTTCATATGCCCTTAAATGGCTCACAAATTTCTTAATTTCAATTTCATAGCAATGTTATAATAGGTTATAATATCAATTATTTTATAAAAATGCATATTTAATGTTTTAATTGCTAAGTAATAGATTCGCTTATATTTAGTTCCCTTAAAATTAAAAAAATTTTGCTAAAATTACATTGCTAGCGGTAATATTTGTCATTTTACATGTTTGTTTAAAGTATGGTAAAGTAGTTAAATTGAAATGAACAACCTCATCAAAGACCTCATCTTTGTGGCTTAAAATAAATTTGGAAAACTTCAATCCAGACTTAATAAACAAGGACTTGGCTGGGTTTACTCTGGACGCTATGCTATTAAAATATTGTTTGGCTTCTCTGTGCTTTGCCTCAAACCTCATGCACCATAACTGCTTAAGAGGTCCGCAGTTTTTAATTGCTGATGAGTAATGGAGAAGAAAATGATGTTTGGGCTTTAAAGGCCCGAAAAGCTCCAGGTAATATCGATGGTGCCAGCAAACCAGCATTTGCAGCTCCCTTATATTCTCTTCAATAATAACAGGCTGTAATAGCAAATCAACAATATCTAGCAATGTTAGTAACAGCTCCCAACTCCTGTTCCCTTCTGGTATTAAGTCACCAATTTGTTATGTTAGGAATTTCACTAGAGAAAACATTTGAGTTGCATTCAGCGTTGCATTTTCGAGCTCGATGCTTTTCGACTTGTTCCCTATCTCAGTCTTCTCCACTGTCAGTTCTTAGCTGTATACTATTTTCTAAAATTTTAAGTTCTTCTACAAGATGATAAAACGATTTTTAATTTCCGCACTTTTTAATGGCGGCTGAAGACATAAATGCGATCTGAAAGATAAAAATCACTTTCGATCGGAAATGTGACGGAAAAGTAGGAAATGATATGTAACAACCACATAGTGGAAACGTTCGACCGCCAAGAGGATTGATAATTTCGAAGTCATCAAAATATAAAATGTATGGTATTACTGTCTTACTCATAAATCGTTTTTCTATATTTATACCCATTACTCGTAGCGTAAAAGGGTATACTAGATTCGTCGGAAAGTATGTAACAGGCAGAAGGAAGCGTTTCCGACCCCATAAAGTACATATATTCTTGATCAGGATCACTAGCCGAGTTGATCTAGCCATGCCAGTCTGTCTGTCCGTCCGGATGAACGCTGAGATCTCGGAAACTATAGGAGCTAGGCTATTGAGATTTGGCGTGCATATTCCTGAGCTTCTTACGCAGCGCAAGTTTGTTTCAGCAGAGTGCCAAAAAAAAGTTTGCCACGCCCACTTTAACGCCCACAAACCGCGAAAACCTGTGACGCCCATAATTTTCATGCTAGATAAAAAATTTTAACTGAAATGTATTGGTCTCGTCAATACCTATCGATTGATCCAAAAATAAAATTTGCCACGCCCACTCTAACGCCCATAACGCTTAAATCTGTATACCGCCGGTAATCTCGCTTTGCTGCTTGCATGTCTCCATTTCCCTTTGGTCCCTTTAGCTGAGTAACGGGTATCTGCGTTCTTCCTTGTTTTAAAAATGTTTCCATTGATAAAACTTTTCATAATGCATTCATGCGAAATATTCTCAATTTTTTTTAAGGAATATTTCAAAAGTTGGGGAATTTCAAAAGTTTTTTGAAATATAAATAACAGTGGCATTATATAAATATGATCTGTCTGAATTCCCAAAGTAGGATTGCATTGCAAAACTATTTCTGATACTCGTTCATCAATTTTAAATGTTTTTGTATCTTTAAACAAATAAAGTTTTCTTTCAGTTGCAAGCAATTTAAACTCAGATCGAATATCCTGAAAAGGCTGTTGAAGTTCTTCATTATTAGTGCTTTCACCTAACTGGGCTTCTAAGACCTGCCCTATTGAAACTAAAATGTTTGAAATCATATTGTGTAATTTAGAAACTTGTTTTCGGGGCATCGAGTTTAAGTCAGACATTTCTATTGATAGCAGAAGAGCTTTGGTTTTTAAGTCATCCAAATTATTAAGGGAAGCAGGAGAACTAATGTTGCTAACAATATCATCATATTCGCTCGATGCCAAGCAGGAAATACTTTCATTGTCGACTTCAACAACATTTTCAATAAAAATCAACTCAGAAGAAATGGAAGCCGGTTCAATCACAGTTGGTTGCTGTTCAATAATGTTCACCTTATGACATCTATGTAAATGCGTTCTGAAGGTATAGAGGTTTGTAAAAATTTGATGACAGTTATTCTGCTCACAACGAACTGAAGCGGTTTTATTTAAGCAATGCACTTTTCGGAAATGGCTCAGCAAATCTCGAGGAGTATCGAAAGAATTGAAACATTTAAAGCAAACAAACATTTTGGCTTTTTTTGATAAATCGAAATAGGTTGTAATAATAATACAGATTGAGATGATTTTAAAAAGTTCAGTAGCAAAGCCAGAGATGAGGATTTTGAACCATAGATTGTGTCAAGGCTAAAAAAAAATGTTTGCACGAGCAACCAAGCTTGCTGTGAAGGCTTTGGGTATTCAAGACCCAGTACTTGGAAAAGTTTGAAGCACATATCAAAACTTTCTAAGAATGAAGAAAACTTTACCAATCGTTTGTCAAAATAAACATAAAATGATTTTATGGCCGAATCCTCCAACCTTTCCACTGTTAAAAGTGGCTGCAACTTCATTCCTGCGTTGTAGTATTGGCTTATCATCGTATTGATTTTAGTCTGGTAGTTGTTCAGATTGGTCAATTTGAGGACCATACTCTCCTGACAATCTGAAATCATTGCCTTCCTGTTTTTTTCCCTATATGATCCGAAAAACGACAGCATTGAGAAGAATTGTATAAAGATATTCCTTCGTATCTGAAAAACGTGATTTACTTACATAAAAATATTTCAAAACCATTTCAAAAATACTTTACCAATGTGGGAAGTCTCGCCAATTTGAGTTAGCAGCTTCTTGCAGTACTCATTTGTTATGTTTTTCATATAATAAGCGAAAATCTCTGATTTTAAGTTATCCCATTGAAAAAAAAGCAAGTTTTGCTTGTTTGGGTATAGCAAACTGAAATCAATGTTAATCTAAAAGTAAGAAATTTAAAATTTAAACTTTGTTAAGATATGTAAAATAATAATTTAATTTAAGCGTACCAGATCGGTTACTTTAGCGTGGCTAAATTTAGTCCACTCCTGAAAGAATGTTACACTGTCCATTTCCTTAGACTCCCGCTGACGAAGAGGAAAAGTTTCTTTCCAGTTGGCACAGACTAAATCCCAATCTGAGCAGTCTCTATTTAGCAATGCTTTTTTTGCTGCCGCCTCAAATTCGTTGATTTCAAAAACATGTGAATTAGCTTAAATAGAAGAATTCTCATCCATCGTAGTTAACTTAACCTTTTTAGATAGCTTTCGGCTACGCATATTTTTATATCGCGAATATAGTTTTCCTGACGCGTTGTTACGAGGCCTCGTACAATAAAGTAAAAGTCCTATACAAAATAATTAAGCAAATCTTTGTATTTTCCAGATTTGAATGTATGTCTTTTTTTCTTACCTTTATATCGTTTTTAGATGGGAATAAGGTACATATTTCCTCTACTAACAATGAAAAATCTGTAGTTTTGATGGCCATACCTCTGTCTTGAACATCGTCCACTATAATGCTTATTACATTTTTCCGATCATCGTTGGACAGTACTTTATGCTCTACGAAATACGTTAGTATGTTTTTCCCATTTTAGTAACGAACAAAGAGGCTGAAATAGTTTCATAGTTATAAGCTCTTACCTGTTTCAGAACAAAGTTTACAGCATTGGCTTTTTCAGCTACTGCAGCCAAAGTTTTTTGGCCTGACTTGTGCTAAAAGTTTTTTAAAATATTTGTTATAATGCCAGGAGTTACGTTTTTAAAATGATTACCATTTTTTGGCATGCCTCCACTTTAATTTCACTATAAAGAAATTGTTGAAAATATTAGTATATGCACCACTGTATATCTTATTCTTTTTTGGTTTTTTTGCACGAAAGTAACGGTGCGTTCTTTTTCTCTCTCTTCCTTAAGTTATTGTTCTGCCTGCGTGCAGCATTTTTCAGTTCAGTCTCCAATAAATCGTCAAACCGTATAGGTTATGGGCCAAGAAAGCTATAAAACTTGCGCGTAATAATCGAAGAGATTAAATATTTAGAAATTCGGTGGTGTTTCAATAAAATGAACAAAATGAGTTCACAATACTCCATAGAAAAACTGGATAGTGAAAATTATAGTTCATGGGCAGTGTTCACGAGAAAAGGGCGTTTAATTTCAGGAGGCAGTGTCGAGCGGCAGTTTTATCCAGATGTCTACATCTCGCGCGCTCGCACTGCCGTCCGCTCTCCCTCTCCATCTCTCCCCTAAGTCTCCGCTCTGCTCTGGAGCGCTTAAGTTAAGTTAGGCTTAAGCAGTTCATGTTTCAAAGTGTACGAATAAACACCTACGCACGTCGCCTAAAAAACCCCAAAAATAATCCCGTGTTTTTTGGGTACCATTCAATCTTGGGGCTTCAACTATTTCATCGATCGAGCGGCACCGCCCCAACATTTTGGTCCTTCGAGCCGGATTTCAAAATCTTTGGACTTTCCTCTCCTGGAGTTTCCTTTGATTTTGTCCCAGCAGGCTTAAAACACTCCAGATAAGTTCCACTTACTAATTGCCGGTCATACAGCCAGTTTTTCGAACCCTATTTCGACTAACTTTCTGTATGATATATTGTCTAAATCCAAAAGTGATTAATCCGACGCAACGGCATTTAATATATGTATTTCAATTCCGTTACTTGTGCCCGACATTATTCCAGTTTCCTTTGCCCACAATTGTACACTTGAAACAATTCCAGAAGACATTTCAGTGCTACTATTCAACAAAAATATTTCTCAAATATATTTTCAATTCCAATTGTGTGTAAAATATAACTCAGCCACAGTAAAAAATTCCCGATTATAAAGATTGTCCTTAAGATTTGCACTCTTTATTTTTTACTGTGTTCCAGCTGCATGTGTATATTTACAAAAACAATCTAATACAGTCCACTCGAACTACTTTTTTCTAATACAGTCCACTCCAACTACTTTTCTCGACCTACAAATACGGCTAAACTATTTCTAAAATTAAAAACAAAGTGACAATATCCACAAATTTACTCCAGCAAATCGTTTGCAATTTAGTTGTGCAGGTGACAAACAAACGCACCGACATACAAACATAAGCGAAGTCTTTCCAATTCCCGCAACGTTATTCCGCTATTCGCACCCCACATATGTACATATGTACAGTGTACCTACATACGTATATCGCCAGTGCACAGTTGGTCAAGAGCTCACAAAAAGTGTTCCTTTCAAACAAACAATATTAAAGTCCGTAATTCCTTACATAAGTCTGACCATCCGATATAATAAATATTTATTGCCTATCCGACAGTGTGACCGTATATATTTACAATCTTAATTGGTTCCTAAATTCCAATTTGATTCCAATCCGTTTCCTTACATCTGAATTAAAATTCTAAATTATTTAACGTCAAGGCAACATCAGTAAAATCCGCTTTAACCCGATTTATGGCCACAGCTGACTGTCTGATCCACTTTGAGGCCACTGTGAACGCTCCAGGTGCTCCTACACCAACGTTATCCGCCTGTAACATCCGTCGCGATCACCTCAATTCCTTGTGGCAAACGGTAAAGGCAGCATACGACATATGCTCCGACAGCATTATATCTGCAGGCGAGAGCGCCGCAGACACAAAATCCATACTAAAGTCCAAGTATTACCAAACGTACTCCACTTACGAAATATTTGCCGCGCAGCTGATGGAACAAATCCAAAAAGGCTCCTCCCAAATACCTCAAGCTCCAGTAACTCCGTCCCAAAATTCCACGACGGATAGCTGTCGGCTCTTTCCTATCGACACAGAGGTTTTTCCTGGCGATTAACTTCGCTGGCCGACTTTCCGGGACCTTTTCACGGCAATATACATAGACAATCCAAGTCTAACGCCCGTTGAAAAATTATTCCATTTTAATTCAAAAACAAGTGTCGAAGCTCATTCCATAGTTTCAAGATCCCCACTCACCAATGATGGCTTTCGCTCAGCCTGTAATAACCTAACTGAGCGGTTCGAAATAAGCGATTTCACCTGAAAACACTATTCAATGTTGAATCCATAGGAGTCGACAGGAGTCGGGAGAAGCCTTAAAGGAACTTCAACGCACTTTTCAAGGTTGCTTAACTTCCTTAAAATTTTCCGGTGTTAATATTGAGAATTGGGACCCTATCCTGGTTTATATGTGCTCGACAAAACTTCCAAAGCTCACTCTCTCCTTATGGGAGCAATCCATCCAAAATAAAGCCGAAATTCCTACGTGGCTTGAGCGGAGCGCCATCTAACTCTTGAGGCCGTCGATAGCTTCCGATCTTCCAATTTCCACCACGTCCAGTCCAAAGAAACAAATCGAGAGGCAGAATTTCCAAAAATAAACTCCTTTAACACAAGGTTAGTTCCGATTACCAAAGGCTGCGATCTGTGTTCGAAGAAGAACCACCCCGTGCGTATATGTCCACGCTTCCTACAGATGACGGTAGAAGATCGCTTAGCCTATATCCAAAGGAAGCAGTTGTGCTCCAATTGCTTTGCAAATAGCCATCAATTCCGGGATTGCACAAGCGCTCACAACTGTCTCACTTGCCAAGATCGGCATCACACTTTGCTGCATCGAAACAGTGGTCCTACTACTCCGACGATTCCATCCGACCCTCCAAGGCCAGTATCCGCCTCAGTTCCACACATCATTTCGTCCTATTCAACGCAAGTTTCCGTACAAAAAGTTCCTCCTAAGAATACTCCATCCGAATATTGGGTTCCATACCCCGCCTTGGATGGCAGACGTACTCGAGGTATTAAATCCTACCAATGCCGAGTCTGCCAAAAGATCCATCCTCTACGGAAGTGCCACCACTTTCTACGGCTAAGCCCCCAGAATCGGCTTCAGGAAGTACATATCCAGAAGTACTGCTCCAATTGCTTGGCTCACAATCATTCCAAGGACTCCTGCCGCAGTGGTCATCACTGCCACAAGTGTGGAAAGGCCCACCACACTCTCCTACATACGGACGACCGATCTATACTTCCAGCATATTCCTGAGCCTACTATCCTGAGGTTCTTGCTACGGGTGTCCTCGCAAGGGGGGGAGAATGTTCACGCCAAAAGGGCGTTTAATTTCAGGAGGCAGTGTCAAGCGGCAGTTTTATCCAGATGTCTACATCTCGCGCGCTCGCACTGCCGTCCGCTCTCCCTCTCCATCTCTCCCCTAAGTCTCCGCTCTGCTCTGGAGCGCTTAAGTTAAGTTAGGCTTAAGCAGTTCATGTTTCAAAGTGTACGAATAAACACCTACGCACGTCGCGTAAAAACCCCAAAAGTACTCCCGTGTTTTTTGGGTACCATTTAATCTTGGGGCTTCAACTATTTCATCGATCAAGCCGCACCGCCCCAACAGGCAGTGCAGATGAAAAGTTTGCTAATACACTCGGAACTTAGGACAGTTGTGTGCGGTCGTGAAACTAAAAACGAAAGTGGAACAGTAGAACAACAGACAAACTTTGATATAAAAGATGAAAAGGCCTTCGCGAGTATTTTGTTGTGTATTAAGCCGTCGCAGATTCACTATGTTAAACACTGCACATCATCAATGGAAGCTTGGTAAAAGCTGGCTAGTGTTCACATGCCTTCTGGAACGGCCCGTAGAATACAGTTATTCAAACAGTCGCTGTACATGAATATGTCAAAGTCAGACAGTATCACAGTGCATTTGAGTAATTTTAGTGACGTAATTGAAAAACTACAGGAAATTGAACAAACAGTGCCAGATGAAATGCTTGTAATAATTTTGTTGACAAGTCTATGTGATTTGTACGAAAATTTCGTCGCCATTGAAACGTGTGATTCTTTGCCTTCCTTGAGTTCTCTGAAAATAAAATTACTGGAAGAGGGAGAACGCCGAAAAGTGAGTGACAAAACGGCCGATGGAGCGGAACAGAAGGTGTACGCGTCGCGCGCCGAAAAAGGAAGAGACAAGTATATAAAACACATGGGAAATGTGGAATGCTGGAACTGCGGTAGTCATGGACATGTTAAGGCAAAGGGCAACTCAAAAGAGAAACTCGCAAGATCGGAAAAAGACAACAATAAAGAAAAGAAACGCGAAGAGAACAAAAAGTCTTACTCAGTTTTCGCTGCAGCAGCAGGTCAAGTAGGACTAACAGAAAATATTTGGTGCGTGGACAGCGGGGCAACAGCCCATTTATGTGCACACAAATCATTATTTGTTTCAATCCGTGAACATAAAGAAAAAATAATGCTAGTTGGAGAAAATTACATTGAGGCTGAAGGCATTGGAACAGTGAAACTGTACTGGCAAGAAAACATTATTAAATTGGTTGATGTTAAATGTTTTAGCTATTTCAATGGAAATAAATTTTAATATTTAATCAAACTTGGTGTTAAACCTTTTATTTCTTATCACTTATACAAGACACTTATTTATAACTTTCGAACCGATCGCGGTCTCAGACAAAATAGGACTGCCTCTTTATTCTAAAACTTTATCCAATGAACCTCGGCCAGAAGCTTTTCTTTCTTAAGCTTCCAGAACTTGTATTTTTGTTTAGAATAAAAGCTTATGCTGAAACTGTCGCATCTCGTTGTGAAATGAAATTATGCTGACCGATGAAATTTGATTGAAAATCGGAACGCAATATGATTTGAACTTAGAAGGCAATACTGTGGGCTTCGAACGAAAGAGTTTGGGCTCCGAACGGAAGCTTGTGTTTACTTTACGACTGGTTTATTTATCTTAGCAGGACGGTCAAGCGCGGCCCTCGATGTAAATGGAAAAGGCAAAGGCAGAATCTTAAACAAAGGCAAAGGCAATGTCGCTGTGGTTGAATTCGAAAATTTTCTTTTAAATTCCATAAGTGGAACCGTTTCACGGGTTGGATAACTTGTATATACATACATATGCATGTAATTATAAACTTGTAGTTGTTTTTTTTTATGCACTTTGTTTTAGATTCACATTATTGTTTAACATACACCACTTTTATGAACATACATACGTGTATACATATATTCAATTGCATCTAACCATGCAACTATGTATATACGTATACACATATGTACTCTTGCACCTTTTTTCCATGATGCACTTTACAAAAACAAATTAGATTAAAAAACT